CCCCCTCCGCGGACCTTGCTTCCTTCCTGTCCCAGATGTCAGCCCCCTGATATGCAGAGTCAGGAATAACTGCAGAGATGGGTAAGTCCCCATCCCTGACTTGTTCCATAGCCCTAGGGGAGTCCAGGGTGGGGGGGGGGGGTTTAGGGAGAGAGGTCATCACAGAGTATGTGGGGGTGGGTGGTAGGGCACTGTCCAGGTAGGGTCGGAGTGATAGTACAACAGGAAGGGTGTTTGCATTGCACATGGCCCATCCAGGTTCGATCCCTGGCACCGGATATGGTTCCCTGAGCTCTGCCAGGAGTGATTTCTGAGCACAGAGTCAGGTGTAAGACCTGAGCACCTCTGAGTGTTCCCCAGCACCCACACAGGAAAGAAAGAAAGAAAGAAAGAAAGAAAGAAAGAAAGAAAGAAAGAAAGAAAGAAAGAAAGAAAGAGGGGCTGGAGCAATAGCACAGCGAGCAGGGCGTTTCCTTGCACGTGGCTGACCCAGGTTCGAGTCCCAGCATCACATATGGTCCCCTGAGTACCGCCAGGGGTAATTCCTGAGTGCAGAGCCAGGATTAACCCTTGTGCATCGCCAGGTGTGACCCAAAAAGCACAAAAAAAAAAGAGAAAGAAAGAGAGAGAGAGAAAAAGAAAGAAAGAAAGAAAGAAAGAAAGAAAGAAAGAAAGAAAGAAAGAAAAAGAATCAGGAGTGACTTGGCGCTGGGCCGGGTCAAGGATGGCTGTGATGAAGAGAGACCCCCCAAGGAGACCCCCAAACAGAGACTCACAGGAGCAAAGCTAGCTCCTACCTACTGTAATATTTCTCTGGCCCCCTTTTGACCTGATAATATCGGGGGATTCATTCACATAAAATACAACCAATCATTGTAAGACTGCAGTCTGGCTCAGAGAAATGTCTCAGTGGCAAGTGATGCCACTCCAAGAGATGCCGGAGCCAGAGTGCAGCTGGGAGGGCGCTGGCCTTGCACGCCCCCAGGTTCAATCCTTGGCACCCCATAAGGTCCCCCAAGCCCCGCCAGGAGTGAGCCCTGAGCACTGCTGGGTATCACGGCCCCAAAAACAAACCAAAAAGAAAAACGCTTGCAGAAAGCGTGAAAGAGAATAATCAGTGTCCAGTGCATCCTCAGTCTTGTGCATCTCAGCATGGACTGTTTCTAGAACATTCCATCCCCGGAATGCCTCCCTTTGTCCCCGCCCTGCCACACTAGCCTGTGTTTGGTGGAGGGTGGGCTCACGTGCCCAGGAACCCACACAAATATTTTTTTCTTTTTGGGTCACACCTGGCGGTGCACAGGGGTTACTCCTGGCTCTGCACTCAGGAGTTACTCCTGGCGGTGCTCAGGTGACCATATGGGATGCTGGGAATCGAACCCGGGTCGTCCGCGTGCAAGGCAAACGCCCTACCCCCTGTGCTATCTCTCCAGCCCCACCCACACAAATTTTTCTGCACTGTGTGGCTGGCCTCTTCCTGGAAACCCAAAGCCCCCTCTGCACTGGGGTCTTCCCCTACAATGGGGGGGAAGGGCTGGAGTGATAGCACAGCAGGGAGGGCCGACCCGGGTTCAATTCCCAGCATCCCATATGGTACCCCGAGCACCACCAGGAGTAATTCCTGAGCGCAGAGCCAGGAGTAACCCCTGTGCATCGCTGGGTGTGACCCCAAAAGCAAAACAAAACAAAACAATACAATGGGGTGAGGACCCCCCCCCCTCACCGTGCATCCAACTCTGCCCTCCGTGGGTGCTGCCTGCATGGAGAGATGGGTTCGGGTATGGATGAGCAGATCAGCGGCCAGGTGAGGCCTCTGGGCAGACAGAAGCCAAGGCTTGTTGACACACTCCCTTCCCTTCTAGAACCTTCTGAATGGTTATGAAAACTCCCATTCTCCCCCACCCTTCGTCCATCGAGACCCACCGAGGCACAAGGTGTCAGCAGATGGGGGTCCAGGGGGGCCCTAAGCCCCCAGCCCTGCCTTCAGGATTCCCGCCCAGCTTCCCCAAACGTTGTGAGGACCCTCCCCCGAACAAAGCAGTGGTGTTAGAGAAGGAGCAAGCCCAGCAGGTGAGGATCCCTTGAGGGAAGGGGGCGTGTTGGATGCCCCCCTGGCCAGTGACACGCCCCCTCCTGTAGCTGAGAAGTGGAGTGCAGGAAAGGGGGGCGGGGGAAGGATATTGGGGCTCCAGGGGACTGAGACCCTCTTGAGGAGGCTTCCTGCCCAGGGCCACTGAGGACTTCCTCCAGGCAGGGACAATGCCGGGAAGAGGGGTCGGAGGGCAGGAAGCCCCGAGCTAGGTGGGGACAGAGAGGCCCCCACTGCACCCCAGAGGCTCCCAAGTGCAGACAGGAAGTGAAGTTCAAGCCAGAGTGCCCTGGGTTGGGCTCCAGGCCCCTTGAGCTAGCCTCCCCCCGGCCCTGTCCCCCTTGGCCAGGACCTTTTTTTTTTTCTTTTTGGGTCACACCAGGTGATGCTCAGTGGTTACTCCTGGCTCATGCACTCAGGATTTACTCCTGGTGGTGCTTGGGGACCATATGGGATGCTGGGAATTGAACCCTGGTCGGCCGCGTGCAAGGCAAGCGCCCACCCGCTGTGCTATCGCTCCAGCCCCAGCCAGGACCTTCTTCATCTGTTCTGTCCACTCAGGGTCTGCCTCCACCTCCCCAGGCGCCTGGGTCTCCCGCTGAGCCTTCATGTGTGTCTCTGCATTGGAAGGGTCGGGATTCAGATACAGATCTGTATTCACATACAGATGGGCTGGAGCAATTGCACACGAGGAGGGTGCTGGCCTTGCACACGGCGGACCCAGGTTCGATTCCTGATACCACATAGGGTTCCCCAAGCTCCTGCCAGGATTGAGTCCTGAGCACAGAGCCAGAAGTCAGCCCTGAGGAGCTGGAGCGATAGCACAGCGGGTAGGGTGTTTGCCTTGCACGCGGCCGACCCAGGTTCGATTCCCAGCATCCCATAGGGTTCCCCGAGCACCGCCAGGAGTAATTCCTGAGTGCATGAGCCAGGAGTAACCCCTGTGCATCATCGGGTGTGACCCAAAAAGCAAAAAACAAAAGTCAGGGCTGGAGAGATAGCACAGCGGGTAGGGCGTTTGTCTTGCATGCGGCCAACCCGGGTTCGATTCCCAGCATCCCATATGGTCCCCTGAGCACCGCCAGGAGTAACTCCTGAGTGCAGAGGCAGGAGTAACCCCTGTGCATCATCAGGTGTGACCCAAAAAGCAAAAAAAAAAAAAGTCAGCCCTGAGCACCCCAGACAAAAGCAGAAATGACAGACGGGGCTGGGATGCATGTAGGATGCAGAGCACTGTGGAGGGAGCACTCGGAGGGGTCGGGGAAAGGAGGTAGGAGGGGGTACAGGGAGGAGTATGGAAAGGACACGGGGAAGGAGCACAGAGAGGGAGCACGGGGAGGGAACACAGGAGAAGAATATGGGGAGGGAGCACTGGAGGGAGCACGGAGGAGCAGAGAAAGAGAACAGGAGAGGGGAGCACGGCGAGAGCTCAGGGAGGAAAGCTTCAGAGAGCACCGCAGCTCAAGCACTGTGGAGAAACGGTGGATGAGGGGCTGGAGCGATAGCACAGAGGGTAGGGCGTTTGCCTTGCACGCGGCCAACCAGGGTTCAATTCCCAGCATCCCATATGGTCCCCTGACACCGCCAGGTCCCCTGACACCCTGACACCGCCAGGAGTAATTCCTGAGTGCAGAGCCAGGAGGAACCCCTGTGCATCGCTGGGTGTGACCCTGTGCATCGCTGGGTGAGAGGGGGGTGGTGGAGGAGGCGCCAGGGCTGGCCAGGGGCGTCGCAGCAGGAAGCCAGGTCAGGGGCGGGAAGCTCACACTCAGCGGCCCCCGCTGCTGCGTCCTGAGGGGGGTTAAGAGCCCGGCGGCTTCCCGGGGCCGCCGCCGCGCCTCCGGCCTGGGAGCAGGGCTCCTTGGAACGGGCTTCCTGTGCCGCCTTTCCTGGCATTGCAGGGCAGGGGCAGGGGACCCACGAAGCCTGCGTCTCTCACCTGAACCCTCCCCGCGCCGCCGGCCTCAGTTTCCCCGGCTCCCCGCCCCACCTCCACTTCTGACGCTGAAGCCAGAGCGCAGAAGAACGATTACGGCTCAGAAAAAGTTTGGGCTGTCCCCTCCATAGTCAGGGAAACCGAGGCACAGGAAGCCCGCTGAGAAGGAGGAATCCGGGAGGCAGGGCAGAAAGGAGCAGCTAGTGGGCGCTGGCAGAGCCATGCAAAGGCCCTGGGGCTGCCTCGTCTGCTGGCGGAGCCACAGCGAGGCCGGAGTTCTTCCTTGCTGCCCTTGGCCGCCTTTCTACAGCCTCTACAGAGGCTCCCGGGCTGCAGGGCACCAGCCCTGGGCGCCTGAGTTGAGCGCGGGCGGGGAGCATGCCTGTCCCCTGTTTAGGATCGGCAGAGCGGGCCCCCTGCCTCTAGCTCCCCAACTCCCGTCAAGCCCGCCCGTTTGCATTAGAAGCGCCCAGCTCCGTGAACGAGGACGAAGCCGCTGCGTGGAGCCGGACCCCAGCCCCCAGCCCCAGGTACCCCCAAAACCTGCACAGCAGCTGGTCCTGGAAGGAGGCTGCTCTCCCGCGCCCCCGCGCGGCCGCTCGGGGAAGCGCCGCGGGATTGCCCCGATGGGGCGGGCGGGCAGCTGGCGCCCCTCCCAGCCCACTCGCATCCCCACCCCGCGACCCTGAACGGCCACCCCTGCCCGGATTCCACCCGCCTGTGTCCCCAAGGACGAGTCCTGGAGGAGGCCCAGCCCTTCCCTTCTGACCTCGAGGGCCCCGCTCCCCCTTCCCACCCTCATCTCTGGCCCCTCACCTCCTGCCTCGCTGTCGCCTCCAGGGTCTGGGGGTCAGGCCGGGAAAACCCCTCGGAAAACACCCCCTGGAGGAGCAGATGGAGGAGGGGGCGGGGAAGTCCTAGGCCCCCTCTATAAGACGCTCCCTCCCGCGGTTAGGACCCAGCAGGGGAGCGAGCATGGGGCTGGGCCTGGCCCTCTCGTTATTCTTCCTACTGGGGCCACAGCAGCGAGTTTCAGGTGACCAGGGGACCGGATGGGGGGCTAGGAGGATGGAGAGGGCTGGAAGGAGGCTGAAGGGTGGAGGGAGGCTGAACTGGGGGCCTGGGAGGATGGAGAGGGCTGGATGGACGGCCTAGAGAGAGGAGGGGGCTGGAAGGGGAGGGTCTTGGGCTTAAGAGGGCTGAAAGTCCGGGAGAAGAAAGGGCGTCCGTCGGGCAGGGGCTTGGAGACCCCCCCCTAGAGCGGGCGCTGAGTGGGGCTATTGTGCGGACAGGGTTGCTGGAGGTGGACCCCCCCTCGGCGGAGGTGGCGGTGGCCCTGGGCGGGTCTCTGCAGCTCACCTGCCGCCTGGCGTGCGCCCAGCCCGGGGCGGTGGCGTCCGTGCGCTGGTGGGGACTGGACACCAACCTGGGCGCTATGCGGCCGGGCGCTCATCACAGCACGCTCTCCGTGCAAAACGCCTCCCTGGCGGCCTCGGGCACGCGCGTGTGCATGGGCTCCTGCGGCCGCAACTCCTTCCAGCGCGCAGTGAAGCTCCAGGTGTTCGGTGAGTGCTCCCGACTCCTGTGGCTGGGGACGGCCCGGTTTTCACTGCCTTCCGGGGCCACCTCTTCCAGACAGCCATCCGTCCTGGACTGCTGCTCCCAGCCCCGCCTCCCCACCCCCTTTCAATTCCTTTGCCTCGTTCAGTTGCCTCCTCTGCACACCCGCTCTTGGTTCCCCCTCCAGACTCCCCTTCTGTCCCCCTTCTATTCCCGCCACTGTGCCTGTCCCTGTGCTTTCGGGTCCCTGTGCACCCCCAGTCTTGCTATCGCTCCAGTCCGGAAAAAAAATGCGGGTGGAATCTGGGCAGGGGTGACGGTGGGGATGGGGGTGGGCTGGGAGGGGCGCCTTCTGCCCACCCGCCCCGTCTGGGCAACCCCGCGGCGCTTCCCCGAGCGGCCGCGCGGGGGCGACGGAGAGCAGCCTCCTCCCAGGACCAGCCCCCTGGGCTCAGCACCCCCGGCTCAGGCTCTCCGTCCACAGCCTTCCCGGACCAGCTGTCTGTCTCCCCGATGGCTCTGGTGGCTGGGCGCGACCGGGAGGTGGCCTGCACCGCCCACAACGTCACGCCCGCGCACCCCGAAGCCCTCTCCTTGTCTCTGCTCCTGGGAGATCGGAAACTGGAGGGGGCGCAGGCTCTGGGTCGGGAGGAGGAGGAAGAGCTGCAAGAATTTGAGGGTACTCTGTTCCGGGTGACTGAGCGCTGGCAACTGCCCCCGCTGGGCAACCCCAGCCCGCCTGCTCTGCACTGCCAGGCCACCATGAGCTTGCCGGGCCTGGAGCTCACCCACCTGCTGCCCATTCCAGGTGAGTTTGCAGGCAAACTCTCACCTCTGTGCCTCTGCATCCGACGGGTCTCAGTAGTCACACGCGAGTGGAAAAATGCTTTTTATTTATTTATTTATTTAATGTTTTTGTGTCACACTCAGCAGTGCTCAGGGGTTACTCCTGGGTTTGTGCTCAGAATCATTTCTGATGAGCTCCGGGCACCCTATGGGATGCTAGGGAGCAAACCCAGGTTGGTCGTGTGCAAGGCAAACGTCCTCCCTGCAGTGTTGTCGCTCCAGCCTGGAAAAATGCTTCACCTGCCTGGGACCAGCCAGAGCGGTACTGCATCGCTGAAGACATAGTACAGTTGGGAGAGTATTTATTTGCCTGGTACACGGCTGATCTGGGTTCAATCCCCGGCATCCCATGGGGTCCCTCAAGCTCGCCAGAAGTGATTCCTGAGTGCAAGGTCAAGAGTAAACCCTGAGCAAGGCCCAACCCCCCCAAACTTAGTCAGAGTTGGGGAAAGTGCTGAATAGGGGTGATGGAACCTGACTTCCACCCAGACGACAGCCCTGCAATTCAGCTGGAGCCCAGCAGGGGGCGCTGGTGCAGTCGGCTGGAGAACCTGAGGCGGGAGGGGAGTCCGGGCCAACCGGGAGAAAACTCTACAGTGGGTGGGACGCTTGCCTTGCACTTGGCCAACCCAGGTTCAATACCTGGCACCCCATAAGGTCCCCCTAGCCCCTCCAGGCTTGATTCCCAAACTTTAAGTTGGAAAAAGTGCTGCTGGGGAGGGGAGATGGTTTGCAATTCAGTTGTGGCACAGCAGGGGGCGCTGGTGCACAGAGCCAGGAGCGAGCCGTGAACACTGCGAGATGTGGCCCCAAAACCAAAAAATAGGGGCTGGAGAGACAGCACAGCGGGTAGCGTTTACCTTGCACGAGGCCGATCTGGGTTCGATTCCCAGCATCCCATAGGGTCCCCTGAGCACCGCCAGGAGTAACTCCTGAGTGCAGAGCCAGGAGTAACCCCTGAGCATCACCGAGTGTGACGCCCCCCCCCCCCCAAAAAAAAACACAAAACCAAAAAATAAAAATGCACTCTATTTTCCAGTCCTACAGAACCCCACTTCTCCGGAGCCCCCGGTCACCACCTCCCCCGACGGTACTTCCACGCAAGGCTCCACCCACAGCACCAGACCGCCCAGCCCCACGCCCGGAAAAAGCACTCCCAGGCCCTGCCATCCCCACATCCAGCAACTGCCCATGCCGGGGGGTCTGCAGCTGCTGTGTCAGGCAGAATGTGGCCCCGGCGTGACTGTGCGCTGGACACAAATCCCCGGCCAGCTGGCGGCTTTTGAGAAGCGGGAGACAGGGCCCCGGGCTTGGCTGAATCTGCCCGGGGCCAGGTGTAGTGCCGAGGGCTGGTTCCAGTGCCGTGCAGAACCCGGGGGCCAGAAGGCCAGCCTGCATGTGGTCCCGGAAATCTGTGAGTCCTGGGGGTAGGAGAGGGGAAGGAAACTTGCCTCAGTTTCCCCAGCTGTGCAGAGTACGGTTGTTGGATTGCAGGCATCAGGACTGGGTCAGGCTTTGCCTGGAGGGAGCCCTGGGTTTGCTCCCCAGCACCAGAGAGTGTCCCCTAAGTTCCGTCAGGGACAGATATGGGAGCCCCAGAGCAGAGACAGACTTTGAGCACCATCAGGCGTAGCCTAAAAGAAATTAGAAACTGGGACTGGATTGATAGGACAGCGGGGAGGGCATTTGCCTTGCACATGTCCAATCCAAGTTTGACCCAGCATTCCATATGATCCCCTGAGCCTGCCAGGAGTGATCCTTGAGCACTGAGCCAGGAGTAACTCCTGAGCACAGCTGGAGTTACAAATATATATGGGCTGGAGTGATAGCACAGCAGTAGGGCATTTGCCTTGCATGTGGCTGGCCCAGCCGACCCGAGTTTGATTCCTCCGCCCCTCTCGGAGAGCCCAGCAAGCTACCGAGAGTATCTCACCCACATGGCAAAGCCTGGCAAGCTACCCGTGAGGTATTCGATATGCCAAACACAGTAACAACAAGTCTCACAATGGAGATGTTACTGGACCCGCTCAAGCAAATCGATGAACAACAGGAGGACAGTGCTACAGTGCTATATATATATATATATATATATATATATAGAGAGAGAGAGAGAGAGAGAGAGGGCATTTGCCTTGCTCGTGGCCAACCCAGGTTTGATCCTCAGCACCCCATATGATCACCTCAGTCAGGGGTTTGCAGAGCCGGGAGTAAGCCCTGAGCACAGTCGGGTGTGGCTCCCTCATAAAAAAGAATAAAACCTTTTTTTGTTTTATTTTGGGACCACACAGGGGTTACTTCTGGTTCTGCACTCAGGGATTACTCCTGACAGTGCTTGGGAGACCCTATGGGATGTCAGGAATCGAACCCGGATTGGCTGCATGCAAGGCAAGCACCCTCCTTGCTGGACTACTGCTCCAGCTCCCAAAAGTCTTTGTAAAATTCAGGGTACTTGGGGTATTGGGGAACCATGAGCAGTCTTCCCTCCCCAAACTTTCCAAGTGGGTCAGGGCCCTTTTGCTTCATCTTCAGGCTCCCTGCCAATGCCCGCGGAGCTGTGGGTTGGCACCACGGCCCTGGGGCTTCTGCTGCTGGCCCTGGTCACCTACCGCCTGTGGAGACGCTGCCGACAAGCCCGCTGACGCTGCCACCCCCACTCCCTGCCCTACCTGGACCTGACTTGTGGAAGGGCGCTGATCCCTCCTCCCTGTGGCCGGCATCCTGTCCTCTCGGATGCTGCCGATCAGAGGACATTTGGCGGGTAGCCCGGGCGACCTTATTCTGGTGGTCAGCACATGCAGATGCCCCAGATGGTCAGGCTTCCCCTTAGGGGCTCCTGGAGAAGCAACCTTGTCCAAACCTGGAGAATAAAGGATATGTGGACTGTGCCCCCTGGTTCCTATTTCAGCTTGAGGATGCTGGACCCTGCTTAGTTCAACCCCATTAGGACGGGCTTGGTGTCCGGGAGCACCATGGAGTGCTGGGAACATTAAAAATCCAGGTTTCACAGCTGGTAGGGCGTTTGCCTTGCACGTGGCTGACCTGGGTTCCATTCCCAGCATCCCATAGGGTCCCCCGAGCACTGCCAGGAGTAATTCCTGAGTGAAGAGCCAGGAGTAACCCCTGTGCATCGCCGGGTGTGACCCAAGAAAGCAAAAAAAAAAAAAAATCCAGGTTTCAGTGACCAGAGCATATAGGGTGCTTGTCTTGCAAGTGGCCCACCAGGTTTGATCCCCAGCATCACGTATGATCCCCTGACTTCCACCAGGAATGATCCCTGAACACAGAGCCAGGAATAAGTACTGAGCACAGCCAGGAGAAGCCCCCCAAAATATTCGTTCCTGGGTGTGAAGGCTGGGGTCAAGAGAATGACTAGGTGCTCTCTAATACCATTGGGGGCCGCGTAGACACAGAGGAGAGGAGAGGTGGCTTTCTGAAAGGAGACTGCATCTCTTTGGAGTGACTTTGGAAAAGGGAGTAGAAGAGAATGAGGGAGGGGTACGGTATGAGCAAAGCAAGGGTTAAAAGATGTCAGGGCTTGGGGAATCCTAGCCAGTTAATTTGGATCCAGAGAAAAAGTGCCCTCTTCCCTGGCAACCAGAGAAATTCGTTACTAGGGGACCACGCTAGGGAGGGACTCGCCCACTTCGAAGATGGCTGCAATCCGGCTTCACGCCAGAAGCTGAGTCCTTCCACGGAAACCATTTTGAAGTCTGGCAAAATTCGGGTTCCGGGCCAGGCAGGAGAGCGAGCCAGTGTACCCTGAACACTGGAGAAACAGTGCCACCTAGACTCGAGAGAAGAAATGATCCGCGCTATTTCCTTTTAAGTCCACCAGTGGAATCCGGGAGTCCTCGGCCCTTAAGCAAGATGGCCGCCCTAGGTGTCAGGGCGCTGCGGTCTCTGGCGGCGCTTCCGGTTCAGCCGCCCTCAGTTAAGATGGCGGCCGTAGAGAAGCGGCGGCCGGCCGTGGTTCCGGCGGCCAATTACTCCGATGGCAGCCGGTCCGCGGTACCCCGGCCGGCAGCCACGGTCGAGAGCGAAGAGGAGTTCCTGCGGCAGGTCGGCGTGACGGAGATGATGCGCGCGGCCCTGCTGAAGGTGTTGGAGGCGCGGCCCGAGGAGCCGATCGCCTTCCTGGCACACTACTTCGAAAACATGGGCCTGCGCTCGCCTGTGAACGGTGGCGCCGGGGAACCCCCAGGCCAGCTCCTGCTGCAGCAGCAGCGCCTGGGCCGTGCGCTGTGGCACCTCCGTCTGGCTCACCACTCCCAGAGGTGCGGGGACTGGGAGGGGCGGGGGCGGACAGCGACTGGACTACAACTCCCAGCACGCTCCGCGCGTGCCTTCACTGCCTCCGCGTGTATCAAGGCGCAAGGCTGTCTGGGAATTGTATTCCTCAGCGCCTATCGTTAACGGGAAGGGACCTTAACCCCGGTGCAAAGCTGGGTCGGGGTGGGAGTGGGGGTGTCTCATCATTAGCTTCTGCCTCTGCTCAGTTTCGCCACTTTTGAAAGTTATAGAGGAAAACTTCCCAGCCAGGTTTCTTGTTTCTTTGCTTGCCCGGTAGTATCCTGGGCCATTAAGGCAGAAAATGACTGTGTATGGCTGGGGATGGGTGGGGGGTATTATGGTTGAGGGACAGAGCTGTGGGAGATTGGGGCGGCCACACCTGGAGGCGGAGATTGGGGGGGTGGGGGCGGGGTTCAGCCTCCTGACTCTGATCTCACTGGGCTACCATTCCTCATCGGGTAACTTCCTGTCCCAGCCCTCATCCCCACCTCCACCCAAGGCCATCAGCACAGCCAGGCTGCACTCCAATGGGGACCCTCATGTGGCACAGTCAGGCAGTGACCCCGACTTGAAGACAGGTACTTTGGATCTGGGAAAGGCAGTGCATCCACAAGTTGCTCTGCAAACATTTGGGGAACCAAACAGGCACCCCAAATTTGGCCACCTGCAGGGAGGAGGGAGAGAGAACTGTGCAGGGGGGTGACCAGGTTCCAGAAATGAGATTATGGCCACTTAGGCTTCACTCTTAGGTATCACTCAAGATGGGAGATGTAACCCCAAACCTTTTGTGGTCTTCTGACACCTTAGGGGTCCTGCTTAGTCCCCAAGGTACCAGGGAGTGGGAGAATGGGAGAGCAGAGAACTGTCCCCCTTCCCCCTACAAGCCTTCACCTCTGCAAACCTGGTGCTCCAGAGAACTCACCCTGATGCAGAAACTGGTGCCAAATGTGCTGTTTCAGGCCAGTCATTGGGGAGCTAGTAACAAAGCCAGGGTGAGAGAACAGAGGAGGGTCCTGGAGAGATAGAGAGGGGTTAAGGCACTTGTTTTGCCTGAGGTTGACCCCTGGTGTCTCCCAGGCACTGCCAGGCAACAGAAAGTTTGCCCGCCTTGCCAGAGGTGCTGATAATATCTTCTCAGCTGCAAGCTTCTAGTGCTGGGGCTAAGAGTGCTACGCAGTCAGACTAGCTGGGGCCACTGGGGGAGACCAAACTCTGTGTCCCCCCTCTGCCGGCTAGGAGGAGCAGCAGTGATGGCTATCAGTGTGGGCTGTGGCAGATGGGAGGTGGGGGCTCCGTGCAATGTCCCCGCTTTCAGGCTAGGCTGCCCCATCCCGATGGTGCAAGGCATTAAAGTGTCAGCCAGGACAAGGTGTAGTAAGTGCCAAGGTGGTGAATGTTACGAAGTAGAAGGGAGGTGAGGTGGGGAAAGGGGTGGGGAAGGGGAAGGATTGGTGGAGGAAGTGGGGGACGGCCCATGACAAGGTGGCATCCCTGCCAAGGCCGAAGAAGCCCAAGGAGCTAGGGAGTACGGGGTCCAGCTGAGGTGCAACCTTTGGACCTGAGCAATACCTCAGCTGGGGAGGGCACTTGCCTTGCACACGGCCCGACCTGGGTTTGATTCTTTTTTTTTTTTTTGGGTCACAAAGACGCACAGGGGTCACTCGTGGTTCTGCACTCAGGAATTACCCCTGGCGGTGCTCAGGGGACCGTATGGGATGTTGGGAATCGAACCCGGGTCGACCTCGTGCAAGGCAAACGCCCTACCCGCTGTGCTATTGCTCCAGCCCCCTGGGTTTGATTCTTGCATCCCATCCGGTGGTCCCTCATCCCCCGCCAGGAGTAATTATTAAGTGCAGAGCCAGGAGTAGCCAATAAGGTGAGTCCCCTTACCTCCCCCCAAAAAAAAGCAACTCAGAGGAAGGCACTGAGAGTAGTGGGCGGGGCGGTCGCCTGTGGGCGGAGCCACATGGGCGTGGCCACGCAGACACGCGGCCTCTTAATTGGGTGGGGGCCGGCGCCTAGGGGCGGGGCCGGCGCCTGTGGGTGGGACATCCAGTCCCGTCCCGCCCAATCCCACGCCCCGCTGCCCGCAGGACCGCCTTCAACAACAACGTGGGCGTGGCCTACGAGTGCCTGAGCGCCAGCGGCCGCCGCAAGCGTCCCGGGCTGGACGGGCGCACGTACAGCGAGCTGCTCAAGCGCATCTGCCGCGACGGCGAGGCGCCCGAGGAAGTGGTGGCACCGCTTCTGCGCCGGCTGCAGTGCCGGGACCACGAGGCCGTGCCGCTGGCCGTCTTCCGCGCCGGCATGCTCACCTGCTTCGTGCTGCTGGAGTTCGTGGCGCGGGCCGGCGCGCTCTACCGCCTGCTGGAGGACCCCGCCCTGGCCGTGGCCGATCGCCGCGTGGGCCAGGCGGTGCTGGACACCCTGGAGGGGGCCCTGCAGGCCAGCGACAACGCCGCGGGGCCCGCCTGCTACCTGGAGGCCGGCTCCCGTCTGGGCCCCGACAGCCTGGCCCTGGCCATAGACCGCGCCCTGGGCGCGCGGCGGCCCAGCAACCCCATGTCGCGGGAGGAGTTCCTGGAGAAAGCCGCTGCCCTCTTCATCGCCAAAGTCAAGCCGGTGGGCTGAAGGCCAAGCCCCCTCCCCTCGCACCTTAGCGGCCGCCACCTGGGCCTCGACCTCGGCGGGCTCTGAGGTCCCGACCAGGATGCATGCAGGGGTGGGGACGACCCCCGGGGAAGACCAAGGGTCCCAGGAATCGGATCCCACACCCCCTCAACTCCCCCAGGGGCCCCTCCCAGCAGAAATAAAGCCATTTCCCCCAGCCCACCAGTGTGTGCTGCCGTGTCCTGCCCCGTGTCCATACACGCGTGACCCCGCAATGCTGGCCAGCCGGAAATGTCCCCGAACCCCAGATGTGGCTTTCAACGCATTGAGGTGCCAGGGCCCCCAAGAGGCCGGACCCCTCCAAGTGCTTTCTCCCTGTCCTCGGTGCCCCCCAGATGCCAAGAAAAGTCAGCTGCAGGTGGAGAGCACGCAGTGAGAGTACAGTGGAAAGATGTTCGCGTACCCTCAGCATCCCATATGGTACCCTGAGCCTGCCGGAAGTGATCCTGAGCCTACAACCAGGAGTAAGCCCTGAGTACGGCTGGGCGTGTGACCCCCAATTTTTTTATTTTCTTTCCTTTTTTTTTTTTCTTTTTGGATCACGCCCGGAGATGCTCAGGGGTTACTCCTGGCTTTGCACTCAGGAATCAGTCCTGGCGGTGCTTGGGGGACCCTATGGGATGCCGTGGATCGAACCCAGGTCGACCGTGTGCAAGGTGAACGCCCTACCCGCTGTACTATTGTTCCGGTCCCCCAATTTTTTTAAAAGGTCCCATCTGTGGTGGCCCCAAGAGTCCCCTTGGTGCATTTGGGACCGATTACAGTCCCAATGGTCTACAGTAAAGGATGAAGGAAAGAATGGGGGCCATCAGGCTGGTTGGTCATCGGTGGCCATTTATTCAAGTCTCAAAGCATGTCTTATAGAAAAATCATGAAGGGTTGGGTGTAGCAATTACACATAGGT